ACATATATGGTTTCCAAAGATATTCTCTCAATATCTTTTTTTTTTTTTTTAACTTTCTTTAGGCAACATTTTAGATGAAGAGGAGTTGTTTATCTCTAGGAGGTCCGTGCATTTATTTAGTCTTCTGTGGGGCTTGCTTTTGTTCTTAGATCATCCTCTGCTGGAAGCTAGGCCCAGCAGGCCTGCCCGTGCTGGTTCTTCTAAGAATTCTGTGTGTTTTGTTTCCACATATGGGTCCTTGGTCCATTTTGAATTTGCTTTTCTGTGTGGTGTGAGGCACTAACTTTTAAAACATTATTATTAATACAACATGAACGCCAAATTAATGTAATTAAGTAACATTTATTTTACATAAAACAATTTCCAAAGAATACATTTAAAAACCATTTAGATAATGATTTTATTGCATTACAAAAAAAATTGAGAGGCACAATTGAAGTATTCAAATAAATTGTGAGAGGGGAGGTGGGGGGCTGTGACTGCTGTCCACATTGTTTTTAGGCATTTAAAGGCTCTGGGTGCAAGAGTCCTTACCAGGAGGCAGTAGTGCACTTTCATTTAGTAGGAATAAATCACATAAAATATATACTTTCATACGGAAGTGTTACTGTATCGTCACTTTTGATTACTTATAAAAACATCACTTTGAATTGCACAAAAGTTCTCTTTAAAATCGACAACTCTCAGGAGACAGAGCTTAGAACTAAGGATCTGCCTAAATAATTCATTACAAATAAGTAGGCTTCTACTTCTCCACAGATGAAAAAGAAATCTGTGAAGAATTACATCATTTCAGTGGGGTATTTAAAAATCTCTCATAGGAAAATAGGTTTACACATTTGTCCCTAGTCAGGTAAAGCTACCTTCTTCCCACTGTGGACATCAACCAGATCACAGAATGTCCAGAGGTTTTAAATCAGAGTACCTAGGCCACAGTCTAGTGTGGAAGTGTTTCCATGAATTCATTTTGTGTAGCATTCTACTGTAGTCTCAAATTATCAAAAAGGCACGTGGGTACATTCTTCGGAACAGTTTTGGTCTTACAAAAAAATCACACATTTATAAGCAGTGATTTCAAGCATGTTTTAAAAACAAAAATAATAAACAAATGCATTTCCCAATCCAGGTAATCCGGAAGCCATGAACATTCTGCAGGCACTTCACTTTCCATAGAATTTCTTGTTGAGCAGGAAAATAAGAAGGTTCACATTCACTTTAACCTTATCCAGCATTTTCATTACAGCCACTCCTTCATACTGCATCTGAAGAAGATCCTGCAATTGTAGAGGGCATTATTAAATCTCAGTGTTGACGGACCACATACATTAAGCTATTGGCAAAAATAAAATCCAATTGTCTTGATGGCCTAGATCTAACCCCAACAAGCCAAGCTCACCACTGTGGAGTCGATTCCGACTCAACGTGACCCGATAGAGCGTTTCAGAGGCAGTCTATCTCTATGGGAGCAGTCAGCCTCATCTTGCTCCTGGGAAGCGATGGGTGGGCTTGAACCATTGACCTTTTGGTTAGCAGGCCAACGCTTACGTGACAGCACCAGCAGGTCTCCTTAATGACCAAGATCAGGGTGTGCTAAAACTTTAATGTGCATCCGAATCACCTGGTTAAAAATACCAAACGCTCATACCAAACTCCATGACTGTGGATTGATTCCCACACACCTGTTAAAACAGAATGCTAAGTCCCACCCTAGAAATAGCTGATCTGATAGTTCTGGGACAGGGCCCAAGAATCTGTGATTTCCCAGAGGTGATACTGTTGGTCTGGGTGTGGTACTGAGAATCACTTCCCGAGATGAAAGAAGGTAGGTTTTAAGAATTGATAAAAGGTTATAGGACAGAAAGACCTTATCATTGAGTATTAACCATGGGTTGTCATGAGTTGGGATCAATCAATGACAACTGGCTCATAGCAAACATAATTATGGCTTCAACTTTTAATTGAAAAAAATTCACAACACAGAATTCCAGCTGAATGGACTACATCTCTCAGAACAGTGGTACTCCCTTAAGTGGGGCGAGCAAGGCAATTCACTGGAGAAGCAAAAAGATTAGAACTCCAAGCCATTTAAACTTTTCCTCTTTCCTTAAACACTTAAAGTTTATATACAGCTTATAAACCAAATGAAGCCTGTTGCCGTCAACTCAATTCCAACTCACAGAAACCCCAGACACAGGGTAGAACTTCCCCACAGGGTTTCCAGGGCTGTAAGTCTTTACAGAAGCAGATGGCCCTAACTTTTGCCCCAGGGGGCAGTTGGCAGGTTGGAATTGTGTAATGTGCTGTAGTGACCCGGTGGCTGCAACAACGAGCCCAAACACAGCAAAAACTTAGGATGACTGGCTAGTGTTTCGTGCTGTTATACCCAGGGCTGCGGAGGGCTGGAACAGAGTGGACGGCAACAGTGCATTTTATGACGTGTGCATTAGAGTACCGCCGTAGCATGCACGCTTGAGAAGTAAGTATCTGCACGTGGAGAGCAAGGTGCCGCTGACGGGGGAGGCTGTGCGGTGAGCGTGGTAGACTACTGCTGAAGGCAGCGCCTTCCTGGTCTAGGACAGTCCTGTTCTTGTCTTGAGATGAGGTCCTCCTCCTAAGTCCAGCTCTCATTCTAGTTTTCATTACCATCACTTAAAGAAAGGAAACAGACTCTCTTACTCAGTAAACATCTAGTCTGGGGGTGGGGTGGGAACCCTACAATGACTGATCCGTGTAGAACTACTAGTGAAGGGCACAGTCAATGTAACACGTGTTGGCACAGTCAATGTAACACGTGTTGGCAAACGTGGAGGAACCGGAACCCTTTTCCACTGATGCTGCATCTGTAAGTTTATCTCACATGGTTTCTTGGGGACAGCTGGCACTCCTCAGAAAGATGTGTTTTTCAATGGCAGTTTTTCTGTTTTATTTTGTTAGGGTCATGGGGCTTTTGTGTTTCGTTTGGCTTTTTGTTGTTGTGAGAAATTCAGGATAGGTAAATCCATAGAGATAGTAACTGGGTTAATAGTTTCTTGGGGTTGGGGGAAAGTCGGCCGCTAATAAGGAGTATGTAAGAAAGAGGAAATGTTCTAAATGAACTGTAGTGGTGATTGTGCAACTCTTTTCAGTATATTTAATTATTGTATGACATGAATTACATATCAGGTATGTCAATAAAACTGTTAAAATTAAAAAAAAAAATCTTGAAGGATCAGACATTTCCCCTAAGCGGATGCTCATATCCCAAGAAGACATGGTCCTTTGATGGCAAGATTGCGGGAAGAGGGACTCGGATTTCCCCATGAAAGTCCTGAGGTAGCAAAGAGCATCCGGTGAGCACACCTCATTCAATAAAGCCACACTTTAAGTCTTAAAAATCAACCCCGTCAATCAACCAGTATCTGGGTCACAATAGCTATGGGCAGGAGGCTAAGCAGCGTAACATTTCACAAGAGCCCAGGATAGGCCGCCTTCCCCAAACATAAACAGGCCTGGCTGAATGCTGTGAATTACCATCCAGATGCCATTTTCTTTTCCCCAGCTCTGGAACCTGCTTGGCTCCTAATGATGCCGTGTAATGCCCTTACGACGCAAGATCGCCCGCACACATTGGAGGAACTCTGAGTAAACCTCAGCTCTCGCCCGCTTCCGCCTCCGCTTCCTCAAGGACCTGCAGCTGCCCTCAGTGGATACCCGCTGCTGGTGGAACTGCCTCCGAGTGTCCTGCCCTGCGACCGACCGCCACGGGGACAGATCACCCGGGCCTTTCTCTCACAGAGTCACTGGGACAGTTCAGATCACGGCCCTTTGGGTTAGCAGCTGAGTGTAACCCCTTTGACACCACAACTCCTCCACACTCAGCCGCCCCCCTGGCATGACTCAGCGGTGCTTCCAGGGCGGCAGCTGCACAGGGACGCCCTTGAGTCAGGAATGCTGTCATCTGTTACAGCAGAGCAGGCCCTCACTTTTCTTCCGGGAGATGCCACGTTTGTGGGTCAAAGTCTCTCGGACAAAGTTCATGGGAGAGAACTTTCGAAGCTCCCTTCTACGTTTGGTTGAGAAAATAAATCATTAAGGCAAGGGTGGGGGTGGGGGCCTCCAAACCAGGGAGGGAAGGAAATGGAACTCCTTTGTGGTTGGAAGGCCAGAGTTCAGCGTACGCTGCCATTGTTATTTCAGGACTTTGCAAACTGTAAAATCTCTCTGCAGTCCCGCTTTCTTGCGTGTACATCGGGGGATGATGCTGGGTGTCTGTGACGACGGTACCTGCACCCCCTTGGTACAACTCCCTGTCTCTTCAGGATCAACTGGACTCCAGGGAGCCCAGAGCGGAGCCACACGAGGAAGAGTTCTCGTCTGACCCAGCCCCGCTCCGGAGGCCCAGGCTCCGAGGTGCTGCCTTCCCTTCAAACCTGCTCTGCCAACAGAGCAAGACTCAGCTGATTATCTGAAGGAGCCCCAGCTACAGCTCGAGGAGCTGGGGGTGGATGGGCTTAGACATCTGGTGTCCTCCCTCCCTGGTGTGTGTGAGGGCGCAGGTGCATATAAATGGGGGTTTTCACTTTCCGTTCCAGGATATCTGGCTCCCTCTTAGGAGGAAGCAGAACGAACTCATATTACAGCATTTCTCGATTCACAGACACCTGTCTTGAACAATGGCTTCCATGCTTCCGATTGCACCTGCAACAACGGGAGACCAAGGACACCCCAATCCTGGGAAAACTCAGAACAGAGAGGCAAGGTCCCAATCAAGGGGGTCTTTCAGACTCAATTCCGTAACTCCAAAGACTTACCTATGACTCTTCTGCGGAAATGATCAATGGTTGTAAAATAAATGAAATCAAATGGAAAGGAAGCTTAGAAAAACTGAACTGCCTGGGTTCAACATTTATTTTTCATGTCTTTTAAAGTTCTAATAAAATAAAATCACAGCTTAGAAACATCTCATGAGCATTAAAAAAAAAAAGAGCCTTGACGAATAAGTGGTGCACAGCCCCTGCGTTCCATTCCCTGGAGTCATGAAGAGCACAAGCCAGAGGTCCGGCGGACCGGCTCCCCAACTCTCCCCCAGGCCATGTGCAGACACCCCGGCTCACCTGAATATTGAGCTGCACCTTGTCCATCTCAACCCCCAGGAACTTTGCTCTGACGTCGAAGATGCCCACGTCTTCAGTGGACATGATATCAAATGTGACATTCTTAAACCTGGTGGAGAGAGGCACCGTCACACACGTGGCCTTGGACATACAGGCCAAGACTGGAACCAATTCAGACAGAACCCCGAGTTACCATGCTTGAGCCACGGTCTCTGGGAGCATCCTGAGGAAGCTACGGGCAAGCTGCCCTTCTCTCTGCCTTACACACTAGGTGAGGTGGTGAGGGCTGCAGCTTAGCCAGCTCTAGGGGGCACTTCATGACACGACAATGACCAGATGCAGGGTCCTTCTCCTCACGGAGTGAGAAATGCGCTTGAACAGAGAGGACAGCCCCACAACAGGAGCACAGTACACAGAGCAGTCCTGCTCACAGAGAGAGCCCTGGTGGGTGGGGCAATGGTGGTGCTTAGCTGCTGAGAGAAAGGTTCCCATCACTCAGCAACTCATTGGGAGAAAAACCTGGCTCTAAAGAGCACAGTCTAGAACACGCTACGGGGCAGTTCTCTGTCACACCGGGTGGCTAGGAACCCAAGATCAACTCAACAGAACGTAACCACAATTGTCCCGGGGCCGGCTGATTATTTCAGGTAACCTTCGTAGACACTTGAGGTGCAGCCGCTGACTGCCGCCCTTCTAGCCGTCATTCCTGACTCTGCCTGCGGCCACAATCCTCCTTTGGAGGGACTTCTCTTGTAAGGAGGGATTGAGTCTGGACCTTAGGAGAGGCTATCAATCAAACCACACCCTTCATTTCCTTGGGGGTCTGGTCTGTTAAAAACAAACACCACACTGCCATCAAAGCCGTTTCTCCATGCATGCGTCAGAGCCCTCTCAGAAGCAGGCACAGAGAGGAAGCCTGGGACCATCAGAGGAAGAGCGCCTTTAAGTTCTTTGTTGAAATGGCTGAGGAGGCAGGAGACTGCTGTGCCATGGGACCAAGCAAGCGGAGTGGCAAAAAGACTGTGGGGCTGTGAGGCAGAGCTACAGGTGGCCTTCCGGGCCCACAGAGGTAGATGCCAAGGGGCCACGTGGCTAAGGGGCAGAGGGGCTGAGAGGGACATGGCTGCTGGCTGAGGAGCGGCGTTGCTGTGAACCAACAACTATATCCTTACTGATTGCTGATCCTCACTGGTGGTCACCTGTTACTGTCCCTCCTAAACACCCTTTAGCGTGGTGAGTCCTCTGCTGTGAGTTTCATGTGGTGCTGGCAGCAGAGAAGTAGAGTGCCGGGGGAGGAATGGTTCGTGTCAGAATCGGCTCAAGGAAGATCGAGGATGGAGGCACGACCCATCCCAGCCTCATGGCAATTGGGAGGCCAGAGGAGGTCAGATATGGTCCCCAATTCCTCCCGCTAATGCAAAACCACGAAGACAGTGCTTCCTCTAAGTTGGTGTAGTCAAGACAGCCTTAAACTTTCACCTAAAGCACAAGGAAATGGGGGGGTGGGGGGGGGGCAGGCATCCTCCCAGAGGGTTGCCAGACTGCAGGGGCCCCACTCCCTGCTGTTAAAGACAATGGACAGGCCCGCAGTCATCTCTTTGGTTCCTGTAGGTGGGGTTTACACCCTACTGTTAATGGTTCCTATGGAGATCCAGAGAACAGGTCAAAGTTAAGCTACCATCCTAAATCTAGGATCCACCCATCTTGTCACATGTACATCCCCAATCCCTCCTCTTCCTATTGCGTGCATGTCCCTAGACCACCGCCTCTCATTGCTGTATAACCTACAGTGCAACCCCTTCCTGTGACACATGTCTACCCCTAATTAGTGGGCTTGCACACCCCCAAACGGCATATAGGCCTGGGTTAGCAATAGAGATATCTCTTTCCTCCCTCTCACTCTCCCTTGACCTCTCCTCGGCTCCCTCTCCTCCCGTTTCCCTTTACCCTTGTCCTTCCCTTCCCCCTCTCTCCACGAGGATCACCAAGTGGGGCCGAGGTGAGCAATGCTACCATGTAACGTATCTGACTCCATTATTGGACTCTCTTCTATCTCTCATGCTCTCGATGACTTCAATATAATATATATACATCTCAACCATACAATTACTGAACCCGTGGTCAGTGGTGGGGGGCTGGCCGCCTTACTTCATACCACAAGGAAACGAGGGGGGAGGAGGAAGAGGTTTCATGGGATAATCAGAAAGCAAGACATGAATGAAGGCCGTGCCGAGAGAGGTACAGGCCAGGGAATCGGGCTTCACTGCAGACAAAGGATGAGAGGGCCACACGGTAAAGGGCTCATGATCCTTTCATGATCGCAAGTGAACCACTTGGTCCTTGGTTTGGGGCCACGGAGCAAGGCTGGCTTTCTCTTCCACCCCACATAAAACCCGCTGACTGGGCACTGTGGGAAGCAGCTCTGTCCCAGGGCCTGGCCCATGAAGCCTGTGCTCTCCCAAGCAGGGGGCCTTGCTTTGCAATCGGAGCTAATGCTCCTCTACCCCATCTGAGACAGCCTTTCACTAGTACTGCCGGGGCTCGGGGGTTTGTGAGGCACCCCCAGTCACGCACACAGGACCAGAACCCGGGCATGGGACCAGTCCATCCCACCACTGACAGCACACGGAGCAGCCGATGGAGTGAAGCAATCATGGCAGGTCCCCCCAGACTCTTTACAGCCCCCTGGACCAGGCACTGTGATGGAGGATACGCCACAGGAAATCCAGCAGCATGAGTTGGGCTCTGCAGAGCCCTAGGAAGGTGTCCCCAGCCGAGCCCGGGGTCGCAGGCCTCACTCACTGGCTGGTCTGGACCTCGTCTATGCTCAGCAGGACCCCCTTCTCCTGCAGCCTGGCTGCGGTGTACTTCACCAGCTTCGCCCGCTTCGGCCCTTTGGCTTCTCCTTTTCCATCGAGCTTAATCGATCGCCGAGTATTCCTGAGAACACAAGAACAAACCTTTGGTCAATGGTGATGCAGCGAGCAGCCATGCCCAGGCTGTGCGACACTGTTGGAGGGCCCCACTGCACGGGACGTACAACTTGATCTTTGCTGAGGCGAGGCCACAATTTAAGGAGCCCCAGTGGTGTCGTTCAGATGAGTGTGGTTGCCAACGGAAAGGTTGGCGGTGTGGCCCCGCTAGCTGCTTTCTGAGATAAGGACATGTGCAGCAGTCCACTGCAGTGCAGACTAGAGACTTGGAGATCCCATGGGTCGGTTCTACTCTGTCCTATAGAGGCTGGCTAGGAGCTAGGCTTGATTGAACGGCACTGGAGTTTTGAGTTCACTGAAAAAGCTCCCCATGCAATAAAATCACACCAAAAGGAACCGCGTATGCATGGTGAAAATTGGACATTGAAGAGAGAAGACCAAAGAAAAATCGATGCATTTGCATTAGGGGATTGGTGGAGAATATTGACATTCCCTTGGACTGCCAAAAGAACAAACAAACCTGTCTCGGATGAAGTACAGCCAGAATGCTCCTAAGAAGCAAGGATGGCAAGATTCATCTCACGTCCTTTGGACATGTTGTCAGGAGAGACCGTCCCTGGAGAAGGACATGATGCTTGGTAAAGTGGAGGGGCAACCAAAGAGAGAAGGGCCCTCGGAGAGATGGATTAACACCGTGGCTGCGACAATGGGCTCAAACATAACAACTGTGAGGCTGACCCAGGACCGGGTGATGGTTTGTTCTGTCGTACACAGCACCACCACTACCACCACCAAAAGGAGCTTGTTGTACAATGGGTTAGGTGTTAGGCTACTACCCACAGGATGGGTGGTTGAAAATGCCACTCTATGGGAGACAGATGTGGCAGTCTGCTTCACAGCCTCAGAACCCCACAGGGGAAATTCGACTGCTCTATAGGATCATGATGAGTTGAAATGGACTTAGAATCAGTTGGTTTGGTTTTTTAGCGATTGAATTATTTAGGGAAAAGTTATATTCTAGGTGACTGAAATAAGAACTCCAGACCAAGAATTTTTAATGAAAATACTATGTCCACTGTGCGCTGTACAGCACAAACTCCGTTTCCATTGTTCGAAACCCCTGTTGGCAAATGGTTGCGGCTGACCGGTGGGCCAAATCCACCCAGCAGCTCCTTGGAAGGGAGACATGGAAATCGCGTCTGTCAAGAGCCCAGCCTGGGAAACCCCGAGCAGAGGCTCCACTGTGTCCACGGCGGCAACTGCGAGTCACATTCGACTCCATGGCACCCGACAAAACTCCACCTCAAGCATACCTGTGAATACGTAACTCCCCTTTCCATCGTATGTCTTTAAGCTCCCCAAAAGCATCCTGGTGAGGCCAGGACCTCAAAGCCCCATAAAGGTGAGAAATTAAAGTGGTTCCAGATCACGCAAATAGAAGAGCAAGAACCAGAACCCAAATCTAGGTCGCCTAACTTCAGCATTTGTGCAAAAAGCCCCAGCAAGGCTGTCAGAAGGCATACAGACCCCCTAGCCTACATCTTTTTATAGAAAATTAGCTCCCTACCCCCACCCCACCTCCGTCTCCTGTTGTGGTTGTTAGGTGCCGGTGTCGATTTGGACCCACAGAGACCCTGCGCACACACTATGAAACGCCGCCGTCTCCCAACCGCAGCTGTGTCGGAGCCCCTTGCTGCAGCCATGGGGCCATTCGTCCACCGCAGCGGTGCCCAGCCTTCCTCCTGCCGCGGCCCTTTCAGACAGCTCCTCACGTGGTGGGGGTCCCCACCCATAAAATTACTTTCATTGCTACTTCATCACTGTCGTTTTGCTACTGTGATAAATCATCATGTAAATATCTGGTATGCAGGATGTATTCTCATTGCTATAAACTGAACATCATGAAAGCATTGTGATTCATCACAAAAACAATATGTAATTATATATTGTGAACTATTTGTTTCTAATGACAAATAAGTGAAATTTTGTCTCAAAGCATGGTGTAGCATGGGTAACAGCCTTCACGCCGGGTACTCCTATGTGAGCGTATCTGCATGTGGGCGGACCTGCCTGGAGAGGATAGAGGAGAGGTGTCTTGGTTCTTAAGACCATCAGAAATATGTGTTTGCCGATGGTCTTAGGCAACTCCTATGAAAGGGTTGTTCAACCCCTGTGAAAGGGGTTGCGACCCACAGGTTGAGAACCACTAGTCTAAAGGGTAAAGGTAAATTATAGGCCCCATGGGAATGAAGGCAAATTCTGAGCGAGTGGGCCCTAAGGAAACGAAGTTTACATGTGATCATTTCACATCCCTAAATCTTCTGTGATGGATTCAAATTGATTTTTTTTTCATTAGAGCATCAATCTCTAATGCCCAAATGACTACAAAGTTTATTTCAAAATGCTGTATTACATATTTAAATAGGTTATTAAAATTTGATTAGCTATTGACTGGCAGAAAATTAGAAGAACACTCATCAAACTAGTGCATGAAACTTTATAATTAAAAAAAAGAACTTTATAATTTAGATGCCAGAGTTTGCCTTTTGTATCAATAATTAGTTTCTCCATTATATATATTTTACTGTAAGAGGCCTATACAACAAGATTTGCTCTTTTAACCATTTCAGGTGTATACTTCCAAAAACTCACTGCCACCGAGTCAATGCTGACACATAACAACACCAGGCGGCCCGGCAGGCTTCCGAGAGGAACTGTCGGTGGGCGGAGAAAGCACAGTCTTTCTCCCTGGGAACAGCCAGTCGGTTAGGACTGTGGAGCCGGTGGATGGCAGCTCAAGGCATAACGGCCACACCACCAGGGCTCCCCCTCCGGACAAAAAGGACCATGACTGAAATGCTTCCCCATGTGTGAGTCCTTGCCTAAAAACACAGCTGTGTGCGTGAGCCACCTCCACGGCCATGGGTAATCACAGTTCATCCCCGGCTTCTGAGACCACAGGTCAGATCAATGGGCTTTACAGCCATGGGTAATCACAGTTCATCCCTGGCTTCTGAGACCACAGGTCAGATCCATGGGCTTTACAGCCATGGGTAATCACAATTCATCCCTGGCTTCTGAGACCACAGGTCAGATTCATGGGCTTCAAGTTTGCTTATGAACCCAACCCAACGCAACCCACCCGCCTAGGATTACAGAAGAACCGACCGCCCGTGACAAGCACACAGCCCTCCTTTAACTTACTTTCTGTTTAGGTTGTCTAAGCAAGTCCTTATGTAGGTGTCGTAATAATTAATTTGTTCTGCAAAAAAGGATGACTTCTCGTTAAGCGCTCTCAAGGTCTGCTGAAGTTTTGACAATTCAGCTTTTCGAAGCTTGCGGTAGATTCGTTGATTCCGAATATCCTAAAACAACAAGTAACAGAGTCAAGCAGACCATTTGCTTCCTCATTTGGAGCAAGAGGACTCACAAGGAGCGAGTGACCATTTGTGACTGTTAGCTAGGAGCTGATCTCAGACACTTCATTTTTAACTGCCAGGCACCCACAATGTTCCCATGATGTCCTCAGAGCTGGAAAGTGTTTCTGTGTCAGTATAAGAGACTCCCTAAGGCGATTGTTCGTTTTCTTGATGGAGAAGAAATAATCTTAGAATAATCATACAATTTGTTAAAGGAAAGGTAGTGCTTACGAAGGAGCACCAAAAATACTACCAGAAGACATGCAATTTCTGCAAAATGATTTGAGCATTCCATTGAAGAATGGGTTTCAATAGAGAAAAATGAATGTTGTGTTGCTTCAGAATACGTAAAACAACAGCAAACCCCCAAACTTTCAGAGCTGCAAATATTTCTCCAGATTTTTGCCAAAGCCAACAGTTGTCTCCTGAAAAGATTCAACAGTGAAAACTTACTTGGATTTCAACACAATTCTCAGACAACAGAGCTGCTTAAACTGCTTACAACTTCTAGGGGCTATGCTACGTTTAAACATACAGTCATCTACTTTATCTTAGTGTTGATGGGTAGAGTCACGGTCATCTTTTTTTAAGGGGAAAGAATGGTTTCCCAGCCCAAAGTTATAAAAAGAAATGCCATTTCCTCAGGGTTCCTCTGGAATCAGCAGAGTAAGCCCAGTCCCTGAGCTGACCAAAGAATTCTTCGGAAGAAGGATTGTGAGTATAGCTCCCTTCCAGGCGGCGAGCAGTTTCTTTTCTTTCTTTTTACTTTTCATTTAACTTCTCACTCATCATATCTTGTATATTTGAGTGAGAAAAAAAAAGTCTTTTGACCCCAAATATATACTTGCTTATCTTTGACACCCAGGTCACAGCCACTTCCTATGCTGCTTCCTTTGTCCCTGCACTAATTTGAGAGCTTTTTCTCAGAAGTTTCTCAAGTGTGAAAAATATGGGATGAAAAAGCAGGATCCAACCGCTAGGTCTGAGCAGCATGTATGCTTAACTGCTCAGAGACAAACGCTCAGGGACCCAGGGCCACCACCTCAGTGGCCGGTCCAAAGGACACATGGGCTGTAGGCCAACTAACAACACAGGAGAGAATGCTTTTAAAGTGTGGCGTTCACCATCACCCCTCCCCTGCCAAATAGCTAACATAAAACAGTGTCATTTTAAAAGGTGAGCAGATGCTGCTGAAAGGTGTAGAGTCAACTTGTCCATGATATTGGCTGAGCATGTATATTCTGAGGTGCTTCAATTCTCCCAATGACTGGGACGATCTGAAATTATGCTCTAAGAAGTCATCAACTGTTTTGAATGAAAAACAAGCAAACAAACAGATCCCGCCATGAAACAACTGTAACACTGTAGCGGGGAGGGACCATGGTGGCCATGTCTATGGGTCCCCTCGGGTCACCTCACTCTCCAGCATGGGACCCGTGATAAACGCATGTGCACAGTGAACAAGAGAGAACACGGGTCCACAACCTTGGCGATCTCGTTGAGAACATCCTGGTATTTATTTTTGGACGACACGTGTCCACTCTGTTCCAGTGTCCGGAGATTCCTCTGGATTTTCCTCTTCTTCTGCTCCAGAGGCAGTTGGGCATCTTCAATCATGGACTGGCTATGCTTCATTTCTTCAGGAGTTCTGGAATCCTTAATGGCACGGCTCAACATGTCTTTGGAGTGATTTAGTTCCTGAAAGGGGGGAATCAAGAAGTTAATTTCTCTCGGATCCCCTAATGTCACCTCTTCAGGAGCTGCACATGGCAAGTTAATATCAAAATGAAAGACATTTTCAAGCCTAAACTCAAAGACCAGAATCAACATATGTTCTTGACAGGTTTTGAGGTAAGTCCATGGGAAGGAATTATGCCTTTAAGAAAAAAAAAATACACAAGCAATAAAGGCAGGTCTAATTTGGGTGAAATTCTAAATAAAGATTTTACTGCTATGGGGGTCACATTGTAATTCCTTTGGATGGATGTACTTGAATTCCTGGATAGTCCAGCTGAGGGAACACAAATTAGATTAACCAGTGAGCTGTGACTATACGAGCCCTGACTGTCCAGAATCCAAGTAAATTCTGACATATTTCAGCCATCGTCATGGAGATTCACAAGCCAACCGAAGAGTGAGCCGTCAAAGATCTACTTCTGAAAGGGCTTCATTCTCCAACACAGAAGGCAATCAGAAGATTCTGGCACGTAATAACCTCTCAAACACACGGTGAACAAATGAATCAATAGGTACTAGCTGGACAGTGTGTTCAAGAAAACCCTAAGAGACGTCTGGATTTTTCTTTTCATTGTACCAGACAATGGCTGCAGCCATTGTGTCAACACATCTCCTTGAGGATTTTCCTCTTTTGACACAGTGGGCAACCAAGGGCGCAAGCATGGGCACCATTGTCAGAATGGTGCAGGACCACGGTGGTTGGGCTTCATTCTGTTGCACGCAGGGATGGTATGGGCTAGAACTAACTTGTTAGCACCGAACAACGACAGCAAACAATGGGCTAACCCAATCTAGGAGGATATAATTATCACGAGACACAGTGATATTAGACATATGACCAAAGGGCCATATTATGGACACAGGGCCAGCTGACCAGGCCATCAGTACCACAGTATGGCAGCCAGCTACCAACATTATTGAGTCTCGAGTATGTGCCAGGTCCTTGGTACCCACTTACATGTCTTTTTTTGAAACATTTTATTAGGGGCTCATACAACTGTTATCGCAATCCATACACACATCAATTGTGAACCACTTACATGTCTTAACTCATTTACTCCTATCTGTGGTTACTGTTGTTGTTATTTTCACTTAAAGTTGAGGAGCCTGAAGCACAGAAAGATTTCTATCTCTCTCATTTGCATGCGAGAGCTGGGCAGTAAAGAAGACAGACTGAAGGACTGATGTCTCTGAATGATGGTCCTGGCAAGAAGTGTTTATTGAAACCACCATGGACTGGCAGAAAAACAAACAAATCTGACTTGGGGAAGTACAGTCAGAATGCTCTTTGGAAGCGAGGAGGGTGAGACTCTGTCTCATGTAGTTTGGTGATGTTATCCGGAGGGACTAGTCCCTGGAGGACCTCGTGCTTGGTAAACTCGAGGGGCCGTGAAAATAGAAGCCCCTCCAGGAGATGGACTGACACGGTGGCTGGAACTCCTGAGGGTGGTACCCGACCAGGCAGAGGTGCATTCTCCTGCACACGGAGTTGCTCTGAGTTGGAACTGCCTGGATAACATTCCACCACCGAGTTCCACCGTTCAGAGTTAGACCTGAACCCTGCAGCAGTCTGATGTCACATGAAAAGGCAGAAAATGCAACCTTCAGTGAAAGAAGGAATAAAAATCTCACGGTAAATCAGCGCGACATCCTGCCCCCATTATTAAAAACAAACCAAAAAATCACAATGAACAGATACCAGATGATCTGAAGTTTTATGATTTTTTGCAGCCAGCTAAATGAAGACTGATTCGGGAAAACTGTATCTTGCCTTATATTATCAGAAGCTTTCCTTTGGCGTCATTTAGAGAGTAGCAGTTCTTGGTACTCCATCGGGAACTGAGATCCATTACATGTAACTGAGAAAGAAGTACTCACCCCAAACTAAACTCCCTGCCACCGAGTCGAGGCTGACTCAGCGTCACGATGGGACACAGCGCAGAACGTCCCCTTCGGGTTTCTGAGACTGTCCATCGTTACGGGAGTAGAAAGCCTTGTTTCTATCCTACAGAGCAGCTGACCGGCTCAGGCAGCTGACCTTGCTTGTGATGATCAGCCCAACACTGACCACGTTTCCACTAGGGTCCCTTGAGTGACCTGCAGAAGGAGGCGTTCCTAAACACGCTGACAAAAAACGGAATGCCAACGTGTGAGGAGGCTTCAGTTACTTCCATCACCACAATGGTGCCTTGGCCCAGTGGCCTCAAGGCTTTTACTGCTGAGCCATTTGGCAGGCAGCTTAACGCCTGAGGCACTTCTGTAGCAAACAGCAACAGCCCGAGAGGATTTTTCTATATCCAGTCAACCAGAACACACCTAACCCACTTATCAGCCCTGCCACTCTGTGCGATATGAAGTTTGGGATGAACATTCCGAGGCTCTGGAAGACCCACAACGATCTATCTTCCCTGCTGGTTTTCCCGGGACTGTAAGGTCTGCACACATTGGGTGCTGCTTTCTCTACGTCACCATTTTCACTGGGAGCTCCTTATGAGTTTCATGGAGGCCTGGCCTCAGTTGACCAGAATAACAGATACAATTCTTTCCTTGCAAACCACGTCAGATCAAGTCTGCCGGCGATAAGCACAGCTTCCGGCACAGGAAGACGTACTATGAAGACCAATTTGTATCCATCAGGCTTAATATTTTATTCTCAAAGGCCGGTTACCTGCTGTGGAGTTGCTGGTGTTTCCAAGATTTCTGTCAGTGTGTTCCCTGGCTGGCTCCGGATCACATCAATGATCAGCTTCTTAGTCCTTACAAAATAATAAAAAATCAGACAGACCTTCAGAGAGCAGCGGCAAACAGCTGCACAAACATATACGAAAACAAAGCTTCCGAAACAGTCCCTTAAAATGGAACATTTTTGCAGACATTCAACATGCCCATCTAAAGGCTTCTGAAAGCATGGTAACACTTGATCATCGAAACCCGGGCTGTACACGTGTGAGGCTGTGGGATTAGACGGTCATTACCAAAGATACAAATAGGTCGCAGGGTTGCTTATCTCAGTCCTTTTGCCTTCGTTTCAGACAGGGACTCCTTTTCAATAGGCAGGCGGGCTAAGTGTTGCTGGAAGGGCCTGCTCCTCCACAGGCTCCGGGATGCTCTCTCTTAGCCCCCTTGCCTGCCTTTAACAGCATGTAGACCTCTGAGTAGACCTACAGTAGGTCAGCCTTTAGGAGCCAGAACCGCCACTGCTGCCTTTCCTGTCCCGAGAAAGCTGTGAAACAGCTGGGAGAGTTGTTCAGAGACCACGGGACAGGTCAAAGGGAAGGACAAACAGCTAGGACTGGGGCCTGTTCTCCGATGGGAGAGACTAGAATTCCTCATTAGGAAACTGAAGTGGGAAACCCTCCTAGAAGCACGAAAACCGAATGTTATTCAGACCCACGCTTTACCCCGGTAGGTGGCCACTGCTTTCTAAACAGGCTCAGGAACATCCTTTTCAAAGATTTAGGCAGCCGCACATGGAAGGGCCTTGAAAGCTCCTTGTCAAGCGGTCTATGTTAGCAGCCAGGGGCTAATGTGCATGAGAGGAGTACAGCAACACAGAAACAGAGGTGATGCGTGGTGGCCACGGGTGGGAGTGGGGGGACGGCATGTTTGCTTAAGGGCCCCTGAGTTCATGTCAGTGGTGGTGGAATATTCTGGAAAAGGACAGTGATAATGGCAACACCATGAAGAATGTCTTCAGTATCAATAGATTTTGCATGAAGAAGTTGTTGAGTGGCGAAATTCTTTCTGGTGTGCAAAATTTCTATTACCCACAATTTGAAGAAAAAAAAGAAGATTTTTAACATCAAGGCAAGAGGGGAAGTTTGATCTCACTTTTACATAAGGTGACAATTGCTTCCCTTCCAAGAAAAGGCGGGGTCACGAGCACAAATACAATCCTCAGCTGAAGTTTCTCTTTCATTCTCTCCCCTCACTGTTTCACAGCTGTTCTCTAAAGGTCATCCCGGGCTCCCGGGGATGTGGGGTGTGGGGGGTGTGATACACTTCTTCCCACAGGACAGCAGGAAACGTTTGCATGGACTGAAGATGGGAAAACAAAACGCTTTCCACGTTATGCAGCGCAGGGTCAACTGCTCCCACCCAAGGACGCAAGATATCCTTAGAGTTCAAGCCAAACATGTTTTTGAAAACAGACTTAAAACAAAAAACAAAAAACCCCAACAAACCATCTGTGTACAGTTTTTGGTCATTTCCTATTTATTCTAAGTTTGCTGGCCAAGCATGATCACAATTAGCTTCCTCTAGTCTGTGGGGAACCAATTCATCTGGGCCTCTGACCCCAGGCTGCTGGGGATCTACAGCCCTCTGGGCAGGCACAGCCAAGCGCTCCACCCCCGAGGTGAGAATGCAGCCCCATGGAAACCGCTGGCTTCTCAGGCAGCTGTGGTTCAGAGAGCCACACAGTTTCCTCCCATACAACTCCCTCCTCCGATCACCACTATCAATGCATTAGACAGGAACGCAGAGTTAAAAATAAATGTGTCGGATGATTTTTTAAAATGTAAACACAGTGACTGCTGCTGCTTAGAAAGAATATTCTAGGAACTGCTCCAGATACATGCTTCCAAGAAGCCTCTTGCTCAAATCCTTTAGAGGAGCTGTCTAATGACAGCGTGCCTGAAGCTGCTCAAGTTTGCCCTGCCAGGACGGGAGGTTTATTTGTTCAGGAGTTACTCAAAGACAAGCTGCCCCCATGTTGCCTATTTTGCTTGGAAGCCTGCTGAACACCGGGGCTGTGGAATTCATTACCAAAGAATCTCTACCTCAGAGACCCTCTATATACATAATTATATGGTCCCTGATAGTCAACCCACTACCTCACCCTCCAGAGCACCCAACTAGTAATGGCCCTGGGGTCAGAGAGACCCAAGGCTGCACCTGAGTTTCTGTTGCTTACTAGCTATAGGGTCTTGTAGAAATGATTTAATTCTGATAAGACCTTAAAAAAAAAGGGACTCTCTCAGAGGACTGATAAGGTTAAATGAAAAGGCGTGGAAAAGTCTTTAGCGCCGTCCAGACACGTGGTAAGCACGCACAAGCCACTCTGTTGTTGTTGTTGTTGTTAGGTGCCAATGAGTCGGTCCCCACCCGTAGCGGCCTCATGCACAACAGCAGGACACACGGCCTGGTCCTGTGCCATGCTCACAATGGTTCCTCTGCCTGAGCCCATGGTTGCAGCATCCATCTGCATCCATCTCCCAGAGGGTCCTCCTCTCCATTCTCTCTGGCCGACTATGGTAGCCACAGGCCAGAGGTGGCAACTGAGCACCTGAAATGTGCCAAGTTCAACTGAGATGTGCTGGAATTATTTTTTTTTAAGTGGGGAGGGGCTGGATTTCAAAGACTTCATATTAAAAATGTATACAGTATCTCAACAGATACACCGAATGAAGATACAGGAAAAAAAAACCCCATATATTTATAAAATAATAAGGGTCCTTTGGTGGTGGCTAGGGGAAGGAGTAGATAAAAAGGAGTTGCTATCAAGGAGTTCCAGAAGAAAAATGTTTTAAAATCAATGGTGGCAGCAATTGCACAATTATGCTTGATCTGATTGAATTATGGATTGTTACCATATCTGTAAGTGCTCCCAATAAAATGATTAATACTTTTTAAAAACTATACTACCTCTATAATTTTTTTATATTGATCACCTATTGAAAGACAGTATCTTAGATATACTAGGCTATACTGAAATTCACTTTAATAGTACAACCCAGTATATCTAAGAAACGATTACTTGTATGGGTCATATTCTATTTCTTGTTGAAAATGCTGCATCAAAACATCCCATTCTGAAACAGGAAGCTGACTGGAGAGGCCAGCCTGCTTCCCAGGGACGCCCACTGGTTAGTCACTGAGGCAACGAAGAGTGAAGGAGATTAAGTAGGGATCCAGATTCACACACCACTTTCTTAAGCTGCAGAAAACAAGTCTGTTTCCTCTTCCACAGCATCAGCCCCTCACAAACCCAGAAAGCTGCACGGGGCTGCTTTCCTGAAACCCTCGTCTACCACCTTACTGTCCCCAAGAGAAACCCCTTGGTTCCTTAAACCTCTTCAAAACATGATGTGCAGGAGTCATAGCCCTTCTCACGGTCCCATTTGCCACGCGTGTCCCC